GCTCAGCTCACTTGCTCCTTTTTACCCAGTCCAGGACCTAGGACATAGAATGTTGCCACAGCATTTAGGGTGGGTCTCCTTCTCAGCTAACCTAGTCTAGATAGTCCTTGAAGACATGCTCAGGGGCTCCTTGACTCTAGATCCTGTCAAGTTGACAAGAATAACCATCACACCCCTTGCCCATGCTCATTCAGGTAACCCCAACTAAACACAGTAGGATGCAAGAAAAGACATAGAAGTAAGAGGGGGGCTTGTTGGAAAGAAAAGGGGCTCAGTGAGGGGGAAGAGGGATTAGAAGGGTTAGTGGGGGGAAGGGGAAGTATGATCAAAGTACATTGTGTGAAACTGTGAAAGAATGAATAAATTGTAAAAAAGAAAAAAAAAGATGAACGATCACAAGGGGCAGGAAAGCTGAGCGTTAGAATGAAGGACAGGGCAGGTTTGCCTTTGACCAATGCACTTTTTTTCATTATTTGTTTTTTCAGGTTTTTTTTTTTTCACATCATTTATTATGTGTGGTGGGAGGGGAATTTGTGTGCACATATGTGAGATCAGAGGACAATTTGTGGGAGTTGGTTCTCATCTTCCACCATGTGGGTCTTGGAAATAAAACTCTGGTTGTCAGGCTTGACGGCAAGATTCCTTTACCTGCTGAGCCATCTCACCCTCCCCATTATTTGTGGGGTGTTTGTTTGTTTTTTGAGATAGGGTCTCGGGGCTGGAGAGATGGCTCAGTAGTTAAGAGCACATATTGCTCTTTCAGATGACCCAAGTTCAATTCCTGGCAGCCATGTTCAGGAAACTTATAACCCAGTACCCATGGCATCTGCAACTCCAACTTCAGAGAATCCAGTGCCTCTGGCCTCTGCAGGAACATACCCATGTACAGACATAATTAAAAAATAAAATATTGGGCTGGAGAGCTGGCACACCTGTTAAAGGCTCAGGCTCACAACCAATAAAATAAAATAAAATAAAACTTTTTTTTTTTTTTAAGGATGAGCTGGACATGGTGGTGCACACCTTTAATTCCAACTTGGGAGGCAGAGGCAGGTAGAGCTCTGTGAGTTCAAGGCCAGCCTGGTCTACATAGTGAGTTCCAGGACAGCTGGGGCTATAGGGAGACCCTGTCTCAAAAAGACTAAATAAATAAATAAATAAATAAACAAACAAATAAACAAAAATAGAATAAAAATAATTTTAGGGCTAGAGAGATGTCTCAACAGTTAAGAGCACCGACTATAGCTAACAGCCATTTGTAACTCCAGTTCCAGGGGAAGCCAACACTCTCTTCTGACCTCTGTAGGCATTGCATGACACAGGTGCACTTACACACATACAGACAATATAGTCATACACATAAAATAAAGATAATATATAAAATGGTTTTAAAAAGATAAAAATAATTGGGGGGGGCTGGAGAGATGGCTCATTGGTTAAGAACACTGACTCTTCTTGCAGAAGACCCAGATTCAAATCCCAGCACCCACACAGCAGCTAACAACTGTCTGTAACTCCAGTTCCAGGGGATCTAACGGCTTCTTCTATCCTCTGAGGGCATTGCACAACTCAGGTGCACTTACCTACATGCAGGCAATACACTCATACACATAAAATAAAAATAATATAAAAAATTTTAATTAAAAATACATAAAAATAAAAATAATTTTTATAAAGGAAGAGAGACAGGATCTCAAGTAGCCGGGGCTGGTCTCAAACTCACTCTGTAGCAGAGACCAGCCTTGAATCCCTGACCCTCCTGCTTCTGCATCCTGACCAATGCACCTTAACTTTTTATTTTGTAATAATTTTAGGTTTGGGCTGTGCATGGTGGTACATGCCTTTGGTCCCAGCACTTGGGAGGCAGAGGCAGGTGGAGCTCTGTGAGTTCAAGGCAAGCCTGGTCTACATAGTGAGTTCTAGGCCAGCTGGGGCTACAAGAAGACCCTATCTCCAAAAATTTTTTTTTTCAGATTTACAGAAAAGTTGCAAAAGGAATTTAGAGAGCTGCTATATATAATCCACTCCACTTCCCCAATAATAATCTTATATAACCATAGGACTGCTAAGAAATTATTAACTCGCCCACATCTGAGCAACCTCTCTTCCGATTCCGTTGGATTTGTTCTGTCAAGCACCCGGCTCCTGCTGCATCTGGCTGCCATGTCTCCTTTACCGCCTCTGGCCTACAGGAGCAATTATCTGGTCCTGAGATTTTTCCTTGTCCTCTACAACCTTGACACATCTGAGGACAGTCAGTGAGCTGTTTTGTCAGCTGTTCCTCCATCTGGGTTTGTCTGTGTTTTTCCAAAATTATATTGGGAGTATGCATTTGGGGCAAAAATGACATGCTCTTCCAGGTCCCTCCCACCAAGGTACGCATACTGCGTGTGTCTTACTTCTGTGATGCTGGCTTTCATCACTTGGTTAAGATGTTGTCCTCTGGGCATCTCCATTTGTTATAGTTATGATTTTTCCCTTGTAATTAATAACTACGTTAAAGAAAGATACTTGGAGATTATGCAGATATCCCTCAGACTTTTATCCATCAACTTTAAAAAAATATTTTATTGTTTTTATTTTATGTGTATGAGTGTATTGTCTGCATGTATGTGAGTACACCCGTGTTGTGCAATGCCGCAGAGGTCAGAAGAGGGCTTTGGATTCCCCTGGAACTGGAGTTAAGGACGGTTTGTGGCCACCATGTGGGTGCTAGGAATTAAATCCTGGTCCTCTGCAAGAGCAGTCAGTGCTCTTAACTGCTGAGCCATCTCTCCAGCCCACTTACCCATCAACTTTTACAAAAAAAAGAAAAGAAAAAAAGCTGGAGAGATTGCTCAGCGGTTAAGAGCACTGGCTGCTCTTGCAGAAGACCTAGGTTCGGTTCCCAGCACCCACATAGTGGCTAACACTTGTCGGTAACTACAGTTCCAGGGGATCCAATGCCCTCTTCTGGCCTCCGATGACCTTTTTTATTGTTGTTGTTTGGTTGGGTTTTGTTTTGAGGTGTGTGTGTGTGTGTGTGTATGTATGTATGTGTGTTTTGTTTTAATTTTGTTTTTCTGAGGTCTAGTCTTACTATGTTTCCAAGGCTAGTTCCAGACTCCTAGCCTCCAGCCATCCTCCTGTCTCAGCCTTCCAAACAGCTGAGATTACAGGTTGTACATCATCACACCTAGCTGGTAATCCCAGTTTTCAATGTGAAACGTGGTCTGGAGGCTAAGGCAAGTGGACTGCCACATTTGAGGCCAGCTTGGATTACACAGCAAGACTTTATCTCAAAACACCAAAACAAACAAACAAACAAACAAAAAACAAACAAACAAATAACAGCAAAAAAAAAAGAAAAAAAAACAGTGAAACTTAACCTCTAGCCCTTGTGAATAAAAAGTTTTTCAGATGCCATCTACAAGATCAAAGTGACAGTTGGGGGACACAGTCCAATCAGAAGCCACTCCTGCTTTCTCCTTGCTGAAAAGATTGCTGAGGGCCAGTGAGATGACTCAGTGGGAAAAGGTGCTTACTGCCAAGCCCGACAACCTGAGTTCAATCCCCAGGACCCACAACGTAGAAGGAAAGAACCAAGTCTTACAAAGTTGTCCTCTGACCTCTACACATATGCTATTGCATGCAAGCGTGCACACACACACACACACACACACACACACACACATTAAATTTATTTTACAAAAGAGAGCTAATGTTTTAGGCACTTTTGGTGCCTCCACTAAAAGAGAAGTGATGCAAACCCCCAAATGCTGAGAGACCCCAGTCTCACTTTATCCCAGTGATGTGGAAGGGCTTTACCATGTTATCCTGAAAAGCAGCACAGTCCTCTGAGAAAAGCGGACACCAGTCTCCAAAGAGGTGCCTCATAGTAGTGCTGACTCACAGACAGTGATTATTTAGCTTTCCAGCTCTCCATTCAACACTTCATTCTGTCAGCGTGGTGGGCTTATGAGATATAGGGTAGAGATGGTCCTTTTGATAGTCTTCTTTCCCAGCAGAGGAATGTATGAATCCGAGAGGTCCAGTGTTTCTGCACAAAGCAGAGTTCAGAAGTGGTAGAATTGAACCTAGTGCCCACATCTCCTACCAGTGGGCCCTGAACATGGGAATTCTCTGGCAGCAGCTTATTCCAGAGACACCTGGGGAGGGGTGCAGATGTACTTCAGGAGTGAGGCCAGCAGTGGTCCCAAGAGATGATCTGGTCTCCCTGCTTTGATACTTAACAATTCTTAAGCCCCAAAGAGAGGCATGAATGCAAGTGACATTTTAAATGGAAATACAAAAAATGGCCAGGAAATCACTACAAGTTTGGGGCTGGTCTACATAGGAAGTTCCAAGGCAGCTAGGGCTACAGAGATAGACTCTATGTCAAAACAAAAATGGGGGGCAACAGCCTGGAGAGATGATTAAGAGCACTGGCAGTCCTTGCAGAGGACCTGGGTTCAGTTCCTAGCACCCACATGGCAGCTAACAACCATCAGTAACTCCAGTTCCAGGGGATCTACTGCCCTGGCCTCAGTGGACACTGGATGCACATGGTACACATACATACAGGTGAAACACTCATAACACATAAAAATAAATCAACCAACCAACAAACATGATGGGATATAGGCCAGTTGGTAGCGTTCTTGCCTGGCATACACAAGGCCTTGGCCATAGAGGCACATGCCTGTCATTCCAGCACTTGGCAGGTGCAGGTGGAGACAGGAGGATCAGAAGTTCAAGGTCATCGTTTGCTACAAAGAGAATTTGAGGCTGGCATGGATGCATGAAACCTTGTGGGGAGAGGGGAGGAAGGAAGAGGGAGAGGGAGAGAGGAGATTGATTGGATAGAGAACTAGACTAGCTTGGGGTAACAGGCACCAGCTTTAGACCATTGAGACTATGCTTTTTGGTGTGTAAAGTGAGAAGCAACTGTTGTCTATGGCTTTGATTGCCCCTTGAGACCAGAACTGGGCTGGCCACTGACCTTTACTCTTCCATTCCAGCAATTCCCTTTCTGTTTGATGTCTGTGAATATCACCTGCATCGCCATCCGGGCTTTGAGGGAGGAGTGTCTCTCTAGGTGAGTCCCCAGCCACCAAGCCAATCAGAGTCACCCAGCAGGGCCTGGCCCTTTCTCATCCCTGTCTCATTCTCTACAGCTTCATTGTTACCTGCTAGCACCTAGGGGTCTGGACAAAATTTCCATCTGCCAGTCTCCTCCTCCCCAACCAACCCAGATGAGAGGCTTCCTGGGGAATGGTGGTGGACTGCCTGAGTTTGGGCCAGCTCTCTGAGGGAACTGGGTAGACCATGCAGGAGGGCACTGGTGTGTGAGCCTTGGTTTGTGGCTAAGCAGGTCCGCTTGTTTGTCCTGTAGGGAATGTAACCGACAGCAAAAGGTCATCCCAGTGGTGAACAGCTTCTACGCAGCCACTTTCCTTCACCTGGCACATGTGTGGAGGACCCAGCAGAAGACTATCTTGGACTCAGGCTTTGTCCTCAAAGGTGGACACTTCATCCTATGTCTGGGTCCAGAGACCCCGGGGTAGTAACTAAACTGCATTTCCCTCTCCTAGTCTGTCCCTCAGCCCCTCTGGATCCTGCTAACTCTCCTTTCTCTGCCACCACTCCCCTCTCTTTTTGCCCATATACTTCTGACTGGCTGCTGGCTGGCTGTTTGTTTGTTGTGGCAGGGTTTGTGTGTGAAGCCCTGGCTATCCTGGAACTTGTTCTTTTGACCTTGAACTTACCCCAGTCTTCTTGTCTCCTTCCTGAGTGCAGGAATTACAGGCATGCACCACCTTGCCAGGTTCTAGCCATATATGTCTGATGATCACTTGTTATTGTTATTTTTGTTTTGTTGGATTTAGTATCTCACACTATAGCCAGGCTACAATCTGCCTCAGCCTCCCCAGCGTTGATCCTTGGCTCCTAATGATCACATTTTCTGAATCAAAAACTAAAATCTGGACAGGTATGGTGGTGCTACATAGTAAGACCCTGTTTTTTTTTTTTTTTTTTTTTTTTTTTTTTTAAAAAAAAAAAAAAATCTTGGGCTGGAGAGATGGCTCAGCGGTTAAGAATACTGGTTGTTCTTGCAGAAGACCTGGATTTGAAAATCCCAGCACCCACATGGCAACTAACAACTGTCTAAAACTCCAGTTCCAGGGGATCCAACAGCTTCTTCTGTCCTCCGTGGTTATTGCACAACACGGGTGCACTTACCTACATGCAGGCAATACATGCATACACATAAAATTTAAAAAAAAAGTTAAAAAAAAATCTTGACCCTGGTGTTCCCAAGACCCTGAGTTTGGTCCCTTGAACAACAACAAAAAAGTAAACAAGGTCAGTGGTAGCACACACCTTTAATCCTAGCAGTTGGGAGGCAGAGATGTGTGGTCCAGGTAGGCTTGGTCTGCATAGAGTTCCAGGCCAGCTGGACCTACAGAAAGACCTCGCCTCAAAAACAAACAAACAAACAAACAAAAAAAAAAAAAAAAACACCTAAAAACAGGGCTAGAGAGATGGCTCAGTGGTCAAGAGCACTGACTGCTCTTGTAGAGGAGCTGGGTTCCATTCCCAGCACCCACATGGTGGCTAACAGCTGTCCATAGCTCCAGTTCTAGGGCATCCAACACACACTTCTGACCTCCTCAGGCATTGTACAATATGGGTACACGTATATGCAAGCAATACACTCATACACATAAAATAAAAATAATAAAACAAGGGGCTGGAGAGATGGCTCAGTGGTTAAGAGCACTGGCTGTTCTTGCAGAGGACCTGGGTTCACTTCCCAGCACCCACATGGTGGCTAACAATGCCTGTAACTACAGTTCCAGGGGAATCTGACACTCTCTTTTGATCTCCTTGGGCCCTGCACAACACAGTTGCACCTACCTACATGCAGGCAATATACTCAGACACATAAAAAATAAGTAAAATATTTTTAAAAGAATAATAAAGGCGGCTGAAGAGATGGCTCAGATGTTAAGAACACTGTTCTTGCAGAGGACCCAGGTTCAAATACCAGCACCCACATGGCAGCTAACAGCTGTCCATAACTCCAGTTCCAGGGGATCGGACAGCCTCTTCTGTTTTCCGAGGGCATTGCACAACACGGGTGCACTTACGTACATGCAGGAAATACATGCATACACATAAACTAAAAATAATAGAAAAATATTTTTTAAAAAGAATAATAAAATATTTAAAATATATTTTAAAATCAAAAGGCTTGGGCTGGGGATGTGATTCAATTGGTAGAGCATTTACCTAGTATGTACAAGGCCCTGGGTTCAGTTATCAGCATTACATAAACAAGGTATGATGGTGTAAACCTATAATCCCAACACTCAGAAGGTGGAGGCAGGAAGATCAGAAATTCAAGGTAGATGACACTATCTCAGAAAAACAAGAGCAAAAGCAAAAACATAAAAATTGGGTTCCAGCAGTTGGACTGACTCAACAGAGTTGAAATCGGCATGCACAGGGGAGAATGTGACCCCTGGGCTCTCCTTCCGCCGTCCTCCACAACTTTCTTACCCTTGTCCCTACAGAACAAGAATTGGGGGTCTTCATTAGAGCCACTGGGTTTAAGGCCTTGTGCTGCCCTTTAACTTCAGCTCCCCAATTCTCTCTGTTCCAGACTTGGAAGTGTTGGCCAAGAAGAGCCCACGGAGGCTGCTCAAGACCCTGGACATCTACCTGGCCCGGGTGTCAAAGGGACAAGCTTCCTTGTGGGGGGCGCAGAAGCGCTCTGGGTCACAAGGGTCTCGCGCCAAGGATCTCACCTTCACAGGCGTGTGTGACCTGCAGCCTCACCCATTCAAAAGTACAGGGTTGATCTGACCCACCCCGAGGACCCACTAGTAGAAAGACTTGAAGGTTTCGGGAGCTTTCAGGGACTGTGTGCAGCATGCCACGTTGAGGAGTGGCTGGCCAAGGCCCTTCTTATCTCCTGGCGAGATTAGGAAGCTCTGGGGCACATTCTGATAGCTAGAATTACCCGTTTCCATTCTAAAGAGAGAGAGGTCTTGCCTCTTTCCCAGCTGGGCTCCATTCACGGGTTGGAGCTTCTGGTATCTCACTGGGAGTGAACAGATCATAAAGTAGGATATCCCCATCTGGGCAGTCCACACATCCACACATGGAGGGAGATTCGTAAGACTCTGCTAGTCAGAATTCAGACTACCCAACAGCAGTCAGTCCCAAAATTCCTGTGGTTGGAATTGGAAGGGCAGATAGCAATATATCCAGCCAGCAGGGGGCAGCACAACACAGGAAAAAGCTGTGACTGACTATACAGAACCGCCCCCCCCCCTTCCTCCATCCAGCAGGGTTTTCAGGGCCCCCTGGACCTGCCGGCCTTCACTGCTCCCACTTTTTAACCCCTCACACCTCCTTTGCCCTCTATTACTTGTGATTTAGAAATGGGCATTCAGCTAGGCTAGACTAGGCATCTCCATTAGCTGCCCCATCCTCACCGCCCACAATTTGGGGCGCCTCTGGTGGACACTGCACACTAGCTTAATGGTTATCAGGCCTGGCTGAGAAGAGCTCGAAAGTCCCTCACCCTCCAGAGGTTTTAGAATAAAGGAATTGTAGTTCTTTGGTCTCCAGTGTTTCTAGTGTTTTCTTCCAAGACAATTCTTTCTTTAAAACATTTTTTATATTGCTCTGGGTGTGGTGGTGCTCGCCTTTAATCCGAGCACTCAACAGGTAGAGGCAGATGGATCGCTATAAGTTCAAGGCCAGCCTGGTCTACTTAGTGAGTTCCAGGCCAGCTAGGGCTACAGGGAAACCCTGTCTCAAAAAGACCAAAAAAACAAAAACAAAACACCGCCAGCTGTGGTGGCGCGCGCTTTTAATCCCAGCACTCGGGAGGCAGAGGCAGGGGGATCAATGTGAGTTCAAGGCCAGCCTGGTCTACATAGTTCCAGGACAGCTGGGGCTACAGGGAGACCCTGTCTCAAAAAGACCAAAAAACAAAACAAAACAAAAAAAAAAACCCCAAAACAAAACCCAAACAAAAACCCATTTATTTATTGTGTGGGTGTGGGTGTGTATAAGCCACAGCAGGTATATGGAAGTCAGAGGACAACTTTCAGGAGTCAGTTCTCCTACTGTGTGGGTCCTGGAGATGGAATTCAGGCTTGAAGGCCTTTACCCTCTGAGCCATCTCACCAGTCCTCCAAGAAGATTCTTGCAGGGCCTTCCTGGCTTCCAATTTTCCAAGGACCAGAAGGATGCCATCACACAGCTTTAATTTTTTTTTTTTTTTTTTGAGATAAGGTCTTCACTACACGTGTAGTTCAGGCTGATCTTGAACTTGCTATGTAGTCTAAACTGGCCTCAGACTCATGTTCCTCCTGCTTTATCCTCTGGAGTGACCCCCATACCCGGATATATCTATATGTTTTACTTCCTGTACTTTTAGATTCTACATCCTACAGATACCCAAACTTCGACTGGATCTGTAGCTAGGGCCTATGTATCTATGTCTGTAGCAGGTATTCAAGCCCTCTTGATAAACTGTATTTTCAAGTTAAGCCCTACCCCTCCAATTGACACACCATGTACAATAAGATCCAAGATTGCAAGGAAAAGACAAGCTTTGAGTGTAGCCCAGTGGCATAGCATTTACCTAACATGTACAAAGTGCTTAGCTCACCCCCAGTGCAACACCACCAAAGACAACACACAGCTACATGGGTGCACTTACGTAAATGCAAGCAATACACGTATACACATAAAATTTTAAAAACTAATATTTAAAAAAATAAATGAGCTGGGCGTGGTGGCACACACCTTTAATCCCATCACTCGAGAGGCAGAGGTAGGCGGATCTCTGTGAGTTCAAGACCAGCCTAGTCTCCATAGTGAATCCGGGGCAGCTGGGGCTACAGGGAGACCCTGTCTCAAAAAGACCAAAAAAATAAAAATAAGAAAAAAAAAGAGAAAAAAGTGATGGGGCGATATGAGAGTTGTTGGAAGGGAGTGGGCATGGATTTGATCACAACACCTTATATGCATGTATGAAATTCTCAATAAACTTTTTGTAAAAGTTAAAAAAAAAAGTCTTTGAAAGAAGGGAGGCGTTCAGCTACTGCCCTAAAACTGAGTATTGTACCCGTCACACTTCATCAGGCAGCAAGTTCACCGAGGAGCTCGGGAATGAATCCAAGGCTTGGGGGTGGCTAAAATACTACAGCTTTCCCCAGCAGTTTCCGAACTGGCCTCCAAATCACTGGCAGAAAATTTTTATTCAAACTGCATGTAGGGCTGTGAAAGATTTCTCTCCAAAGTTAAGGAACTGAATGTTCCAGGCCTGACTGTTCTAGGTTTGGGTGTTCCAGGCCTGATTGTTCCTTGAGTGGTTGTTCTAAACCGGATTGTTCCAGGTCTGGTTGCTCCACATTGAAAGGTTTCCAGATGTGTTCCCCAGACACCCCCAGGAATAGCTGGAATGATGGCCTGGGTGTTCTGTAGATGCTGTCGAAGGTCTTCAGTCACTTGCTTTTCTGCCACTGCTTAGAGTCCCTTCTTTGGTTTTGGAACCAGGTCTTAACCTGTTTATTGGTAAGCTTTAGAATGCTAGAAAATTCTTGCATCTGCTGGAGGCTGAGGTACTTCATCTCTGAAACCTTTCATGGAGTGCACATGGCAGCGCCTGAGAGAACATGTTTCCGTCTTGTTTCTTTGCCTAGACCTTCCACTCATCCTTCTTTGCAGTGCTAGCCTTGGTCTGGGGACTGGTAGAAGAATCAGGGCTGTCCTGCATAGCTAGGTCCACGGAGGAAGGAAGAGAAGAGAGAGTTTTCCTGTGGAAACTGAGCAGTAGGCATTTGTAAGGAAGAGTCATTTTCCTCGGGACCATAAGGTGCAAGCATTGGTGAGGAGCCCACAGAATCAGGTGCTTTCTCAGAATAAGGCAGACTGTGGGGACCAGCGGGGGATCCACACTCATGTCAGTCAGAAGCAGAAAGAAAAGTCAGTGCTTTAAAAAAACCCCAAGACTTTAGGACTATGTCTAGAGGGCAAGATCTTAAAAATAAAGATCTCCATATGCAAAAATATCAATCAAGAAACTGGGATGAAGTGAACCTCTTTTCCAGAGGAAGAAACCAACTCAGTCAAGCCCAACGTCTTATTTATTTATTATTATGATGATGATGATTTTATCATTTGTGCATATGATGGTGAGGGAAGGACATACATGCACGACGGCAAGTGTGTGGAGATCAAAAGATAGCTTTGTAGAGTCAGTTCTCTCCTTCCACCTTTACCTAGGGGATTGGGTTACCAGATGTCTTCCCAGCAGAGCCATCTTACCTGCCAGGGCTGGGAGACTTCTTGCAAGTTCTAGCTGGTGGGCAAGAGTCTCTGGCTCTTAAGATTGTGTAGTGTGATATCCATACCAGATTTTCTTCTGGTTCTAGTGCTCCCACTTCCTTACTCCCCCAGAGTCTCAGACCAGGGTACCCAAGCTGGGGCACACGTGAGAGGTTGAGAGTAAGACTGTGTTCCATCTTTCCTCAGGACACTTATGGAAACCTGTGTACCTCCACCCCCACCCCACAAGCCTCTCCTAAGTCTGGGGCAGTAGTAGCACCAACACGGGTCTCCTGATGTGGGAGGTGCCCTGCAGTTGGCCTTGTGTCATTTGCAAGGCCAAAGCTAGAATGCTTTGTTACTGTGTAACTTCCTCCAGCCTCCATCTTCAGCAAACTGACTGGACAGGGACGTTACTGGGCCTGCCAGGAGCTAGAAGGCAGCTTAGACTCCACTTTGGAGCCTGAGTCAGTTTGGGTAGTACCTTCCCACTTATCCTCTTCCCCTTCTCTGAGCTTGTGAAGTTAACTCACAGCCTCAGCTAAAGGCACGGGTGCCCAGGCCTTGTGGACTCTGGGATGGTCTGGTTGGAAGGGAGCCAGCACCCCCTGCAGGGACCCTTCCTCCAGACCAGAGTGCACATAGCTCTAAGACAGCCCAGGAATGCCATTCTACTGATGGATGGGGTTTGGGGGTGGAGGTGGGGATAGGAGCCCTCTGAAAAAAGCTGAACAGCTGTGTATTTTTATTATTTATTTTGGTCTTTTTGAGACAGGGTCTCCCTGGAGCCCCAAGTGGTCTGAAACTATGTAGATCAGTCTGATCTTGAATTCACCGAGATCTACCTGCCTCTGCCTCCTGAGTGCTAGGGTTAAAACCATGTGCCACCATGCCCAGCTCGTATTTTTATTTTTAAATTTTTTTTTATTTTTATTTAATGTATAAGAGTGTTTGGCCTGCATATATATATATGCACCCATGTCATGCACTGCCTGCGGAGGTCAGAAGAGGGTATATATATATGCATCATGTGCATGCAGTGCCAGCAGAGGCCAGAAGAGGGTGCTGGATCTCCTAGAACTGGAGTTATGAAAAATTTTAGCTTCTATGTGGGTGCTGGGAACTAAACCCAGGTCTTCTGGAAGAAAAACAAGTGATTTTAACTTCTGAACCATCTCCCCAGGTCCCTGCATATTTGTCTTGGGGGCTTGGGCCGAGGGTGGAGACTTGGAACAAGGCCTTCCATAGGAGACCTCAAAATACCACATAAATCTAAAAATGTCAGAATCACTGGTGGGGTGCACCTCTTCCTTTCCCCACCTTTAAAGCCCAGGCCTGGCACACGCTCCTGTGTGGAGAGTCCCATGAGGTCTGTGCAGTCTGCAGGGAGTACAGGAGGAGGGTGTGCAGAGGAGCTCATCTTCCCGTACTTCTTGGCACAGAATCAGCAAGATGAACTTGATCAGACTGTCTGTTTTTGTGTGGGACAGAAGAATCCAGTGTGTCACAGCTCAGAAGGCACAAAAGCCCTTAGGACACAGGTGACTCAGGATGGCTGCTGGCTACCCTGCTAGGCCCCTCAGCCTCAGGTCCAGGCTCACCTGGACTCATACCACACTCTGCATACCCTTCATGGGGCCTCTTTGTGGCACCTTCCCCCACCCCTTCTGGCTTGTTTGTTTTGAGGCAGGGTCTTGTGTAACCCAAGCTGACACTGAACTATGTAGCAGAGGCTGCCTTGAACTCATGATCCTCCTGCCTCTCTCTTCCAAGTGCTGAGAATAGAGGCATGGACCACCATGCCTGGCTCAGCTACTCTTCTCCCCACTGCGTGACTCTCTATCCTCTTCCGCAATGCGCACCATGCCATTAACAAAAGAACAAACCCGGGTCATGACAAGAGAGAGCAGTTCACCCAGGATCAGAGGTGGGGTGAGAACCAGACCCACAACTCTCCACCATAGCTTGGTGCTTTGCCCGAGGCCCACAGTGGCCCTGGGCTCATCAGCCAAACACAACTCAGTGTGCCTATGAGAGAACAGCTAGCCTGCTGAAGGGCTGTGTCATATTCTGTTGCTGGGCAAATATAATCATTTAAAGCTGTCTTGTGGGTGGTTATTGGGGCATCTGAGGAAACACTGGCTTGAATGGAGGTGGATCCAGAGCCACAGCCACAGGAATGTGAACCTTAAACTAAGCCCTGAGCTGAAAGTGATGCTGAGACCTGGCACTGTGCCACCTCCCTATTAGGTTCTGGGCATGGTGGGGGTTGGAAGGCAGCTCCACTGAACTAACCATGCAGACCCAGTGTTGGTCACTTGGAAACTGTAGAATGATCTGTATTCCACTTAGTTCACCCCCTGGTGAACAGATAGAACGGAGAATCAACCCAGAGCAGGCAGCACAGAAAGTGAGCTGGTAAAGGCACTTGTCTCCTTTATTGAGCATCTGCAGAGGTACCTCAGTGCTGACCCAGCAGCCAGAGGGGGAAGGAGCAGGCAGGAGGTGGGAGGCAGGGAGCAGGGACAGGGATGGCCCTCATTTCCAGTTCTTAAAAAATTGTTTGAAGATGGGACTCTCTCGGCCCTGGGGCAGAATCTCCACCTGCAGGACAGTGGGAGAGAAACATGGCTCACAGGCTGCCACCTCTGCCTCAGCCAAGGAGGACACAGGATACCAGTGATATGGGGCAGGCAACGAATTAGATATGTGGTAACCAGGAAAACTGGAGCTGTACTTTGGTAACTCTCTTGACAGAATGTTTCTTTGTGGGTTGACTATTTTTCCATTTGGTTGTTGTTTTTGTTGTTTTGTTTTTGAGACAGGGTCTTACTATGTAGCCCTAGCTAGCCTGGAACTCACTAGGTAGACCAGGCTGGCCTCAAATTCAGAGCTCTGCCAGCCCCTGCCTCTGCTGGTAATAAAGGCATGAGCCAGCATGCCTGGCTTGGTTAAATATTTTTGAAGCTAAAGTCAGGTTCCTACTATATCAGAAGCTAAGGAACCAGGACATTTTCCTACACACATGCATTTACAGAAGGGTCTGCAGCCTCAAAAAACCTGAGGGCATCACAATGTCACTTACATTATGTTTTGGGGCATATCACACACATTTTTGTGGGTTTTTCTAGAGGGTTATGGGAGGAAAAATACCCTAAAAGGGAAATCTGATCTACCATGATTTGGGAGAGAAAAAGGGACACCTTACTCCAACTCATAAGTATTCGTTAGAACTTCTTTTGTGGGAGGGGAGAGAAAAAACTTCTTTTAAAAATATTTTATTTGGGCTGGAGAGATGGCTCAGGAGTTAAGAACACTGGCTGTTCTTGCAGAGGACTTGGGTTTGGTTCCCAGCACCCACATCTGCATGTGTGTAAGTGCACCATGTGTGTGCAATGCCTGAAGAGGTCAGAAGAGGGCATCAGATCCCCTGGAACTGGAGTGATGAATGGTTGTTAGCCACCATGTGGGTGCTGGGAACCGAACCCAGGTCTTCTGTAAGAGCAGTCAGTGCTCTTAACTGCTGAGCCATCTCTCCAGTCCCTCATTAAAAAGTTCTTTAAAATCCACAACACAGAACTCACTGGGTTGCTCTCTGCCTGAGGACATCCTATTCCAATATTTGCTTTGCTTAAATTTGCTAAGTAAGTTTCCAGTCAGACTGTCTGTGTCTCTTGACTGAATTCTTCCCTTCAAGAAGACAAGAGCCGTATACACAGGCGAGAGAACACAAGCAGTCCAGACGAATCCTGAGAAGCCAAGATGAGCCATAAGATCCCAGAGACACAGGCTGAGGAAACACTACTTCAAGGACTTGGCAGATGCCACCAATTATAAACTACCAGCTGTATGAAGGTGACTTTTGAGCAGGGTATGGTGGCTCACACTTGTAATCTCAGCACTTGGGAGGCTGAGGCAGGAGGATTGTTATGAGTTCAAGGCCAGCCTGGGCTGCAAAGTAAGTTCTGGGCTCCTGGGCTACAGAGTGAGATGACACCTCAAAAAATCTAAAAGAGGTGGTGCTGGGTATGTAGCTTAGTTGATGGAGTACATACAAAATAACATGCACAAAACCCTAGGTTCAGTTCCTAACACCACATAAACCAGGTGTGAGGGCAGCACTTGGGAAGTAGAGGCAAGATCAGAAGTTCCACATCATCCTTGGCCTCATAAAGAGTTTGAGGACAGCCTGGACTACATGAGACCCTGGAAGAGAGGAGAGGAGAAGAAAGGAGAGAAGAAAAAAGGGGAGGGGAGAGGGGGAGAGGAGGGGAGGGAAGGAAAGAAGTGGGGAGGGGAGAGGCAGAATATGAGAATATGCAAGTGGTAGGAGGCAGGGAGTGGGGACAGGGACACCTACACACTTTTAGTCCTTGAAGAATTAGAGAGAGAGAGAGAGAGAGAGAGAGAGAGAGAGAGAGAGAGAGAGAGATGACTTGTGGAGTCGTCATGCTGGGGCTAGAAGGGGCATTAGCAGCCAGAGAGAAACACAGTCATCCAAAGACATGCCCTGCTTTTGGGTTCCCAGCGTTCTCTGAAAAGGAGATGGGTTTTAAGTGCTGAATGACTGAAAGGCCTTTCATCTGATAGGTCTGAGAGGGAGACATGCTATTCCAACTCCCGAGGCTCTCCTGCTCTTCTTGTCCAGTTTGGGGTCAGAGGCCACAGGAGTAGGCTCTAGGGACAGGGATATTGCCTTACCTGAGTGTTTGGGGAGTATCTCATGCGAGAGATGAAGCCTTCAGCCACTTGGAGGGCTGCCTGCCGCTCCTTCTCATTAGCTTTTCGCCCTGGAACACAGGAAAGAGATTTTTTGTTTGTTTTTTGTCTTTTTGATACAGGGTCTCTCTGTAGCCCTAGCTGGCCTGGAACTCACTATGTAGACCAGGCTGGCCTTGAACCACAGAGATCTGCCTGCCTCTGCCTCTCAAGTGCTGGGATTAAAGGCATGCACCACCATGCCTGGCATTTTTAAAGAAAGAAGAGGGTAGAGAAATGTAGCTCAGTTGGTAGAGTGCTTGACTAGCACACAGAAGCCCTTGGTTCTACCCCCTGCACCACATAAAACCAGGTGTGGGTGTGCACACCTGTAATCCCAGCACACAGGAAGTGGAGGCAGGAAGAACAAAAGTTCAAGGTCATCTTCAGCTATATAGGTAGTTCAAGGTCAGCCTGGGCTACATGAAACCCTATCTCAGAAAGAAAGAGGAGAGAGGGAGGGCAGGAGAGAGGGAGGGTGGGAGGGAGGGAGAGAAATAGAGAGAGAGAATACCCTTTCTAGTCTATATCCCATTTTTTTCTTAAGGAAATTTAAGGGGTCCACAGGATACCTGGCAGTTTTTCAAATAAATGTACCAAGACTACCCAAGAATGCTGCTGGTATAAAGTCAGCTTCTTAAAACTTTTCCCAGGGCTAGAGATATAGTTCAGCTGCATATTGCAGCCAGATATGGTGGCGCACAGCTTTGATCCCAGTACTAGGGAGGCAGAGGCAGGCAGATTTCTGTGAGTTCAAGGCCAGCCAAAAAAGAAAAAATTACAAAAAAAAAAAAAAAAAGGGGGCATACTGCTCTTTCAGGGGAATGCATACTGCTCTTTCAGGGGACAGGAGTTTGGTTCCCAGCACCTACACCAGGCTGCTCTGACTCCTGTAATTCCAGTTCCAGAGGATCTGGTGACCTCTGCTGGCCTTTGTGGACTTCTGCACTCACATGTACACACACACAATACACAACATTTTTATTTATTTGAGAATTTCATACAATATAGTTTGATCATACTCAACCCCCCTCCATCCTTATCTTACCCCTCCACCCTTCATGTTTTTATTGTCTTTATTTTATTTATTTATTTATTTATTTATTTATTGTGGTCTTTTTTGAGACAGGGGTCTCCCTGGGTAGCCCCAGTTGGCCTTGATTCACTATGGAGACTATGCTGACCTCGAACGCACAGAACCTGCCTCTGCCTCCCTCATGCTAGGATTAAAGGCATGTGCCACCATGCCTGGCCACAAAAATTTTTTCCAAGACTCTTCCCAGAAAACTGGCAGCTCTAAGCTATAGCAAAAACTTCTCTTCTGCCTAGGTCTGATCAGCAAAACCTTCTGTTCTGACCAAGACCCCAGTCATATTTTAGGGAGAGTAGGGTTTCCCTTGGGCATCCAACCATAAAGGCCAGGGATCCACCTTTCCCCCCAGTCCCTCACTTTGGGGACCAGTACAGTGTTACAGATAATACTTACTGTTATCAAGACTTTTTAGTAAAACTAAATAGGACAAGGAGTACAATTTCTTATAGAGGCCAACTGACTCCCACAAGGCCCAATTCCAACATTGTTTGCTAATGAAGTGCTTATAAAATGAAGACCACACAGAATTCACCCACTTCTTCAAGCAGTCCTTTGGACACAAACTGTGCTTTGAGTTGAAGGTATTTTTGCAAGGGAACTCCATAAATGATGGTTTGCTCTCTGGCCAGTGTTAAAATCCTGTGACCTATGAACTATCTGAAACTAATATTCTGTGTCCTTCTGTAACTGACCCACTGTCCTGGCACCCATCGGGCTCTTGTCTTCCTGGCCTCCCAAGTTTCCTGTTCCCTGTACTGCTTTCTCTTTCTGTAATGATTCCTTGCTTGGGGGCTATAGACACTTACACAGGCCTCTGGGATCTTGGCATTGGCTCCATGGGGCATGTTGCTCTGCAGAAGGGAAAAGGCAGCCCCAGGGCTGGGGATGGTAGCTCAGCTGGTAGAGTGCTTGCCCATGCCCTAGGTTCCATCCCCAGTACAGCATAAAACTAGGTATGGTGGTGAACACCTATAATCTCACACTCAATAAGAGGCAGGAGAATCAGAAGTTCAAGGCCATCCTTAGCTACATAGCAAGTTTGAGGCCAGCCTGGGCTACATAAAACCTTGTTTCAAAAAAGGAAAGAGAAGCCCCAGCAGCAGGGCCTCTCTCATCCCAACCCTTAACCTTACAAACCACTGGTTACATCCGCTGCTTCGGGGCCCTTCTGTGGCCTCCTCTTTGCTGAGTTTGGGAGGCAACATTAACTCCCCCTTTCTGACCAGGTTGGGGCCTGGCTGTTTCTCAGCCTCAGTTCATTCACCCTGGTGAATGAATTAGTCAAGTGCTATTTGGTCAAGACAGGCACAGTTCCTGCTCTTGAGAAGCTTATAACTTAATCAGGAAGCTAAGATTAAATTCACATGTACAAGGCCCAGTACAGCATAAAGGGCATAGTGACTCATCCCTGTAATCTCAGTACTCAGGAGATGGAGGCAGGAAGATCAGGAGTTCAAAGACAGCTGAGTTGAGTGACTGATTGAAAACAGTGAGTTGGAGGCCAATCTAGGCTACATGAGATCCTGTCTCAGAAAACAGAACCAGGGGCTGGAGAGACAGCTCAGTGGTCAAGAACACTGGCTGCTCTTGCACAGCACCTGGGTTCAGTTACTAGCACCCATGTGGCAGCTAACAACTGTCCGAACTCCAGTTCCAAGGGATCTGACACTTTCTTTTGCCCTCCATGGGCATTGCACAGCATGGGTACACTTAGATACATGCAGTCAAAACGCTCATACACATAAAATAAAAATAAATAAATCAAAAAAAAAAAAAAAAAAAAAAACCTAACTAACCAGCCATGCTAGTGCACACCTTTAATCCCAGCACTGGTGGGGGGGGTGTGTGCGGTAAGAGATAAGTAGATCTCTGTGAGTTCTAGGCCAGCCTTGGCTACAGTGAGACCCTCTCTTAAAAAAAAATTAAAAAAAAAAAAATAAAGGCCCAGGCGTTAGTCCCAGCACTCGGGAAGCAGAGGCAGGCTGTCTCAAAAAGACCAAAAAAAAAAAAAAAAAAAAAAAAACATGGAACAAGGGGCTAGAGAAATGGCACAGCAGTTAAGAGCATTTGCTGTTCTTGCAAAGGATCAGGTGGCTAACAATAGCAGCTCCAGGAGACACCCTCTTCTGGCCAAGGTCACCCATAGGTAGATGTACATACACACAAACAGATACACATAAATAAAAAATAAAATAAGTCTAAAAATAAAAAACCAGAACCTCAGCTGAAGGCATGGACCGCCCAGACTGTGAACAGAACCAAGCAAAAGCAAGCTGGCTCCGGGATCACGCTGTTTCTACATTTCCCAGTGGTTAAAGCAAGCTGGCTCTGGGATCACGCTGTTTCTACATTTCCCAGTGGTTAAAGCAAGCTGGCTCCGGGATCATGCTGTTTCTACATTTCCCAGTGGTTAAAGCAAGCAGGCTCTGGGATCATGCTGTTTCTACATTTCCCAGTGGTTAAAGCAAGCTGGCCAGGCTTCTGAACAGAGCAGCATTTCTTTTTATAGCTGAATTTCTTGGAAAAATAAGTTCTTCAAGTTTACCACCCACTGTATAAAGTCACACTAATTTTTAAAAAAAAAAATCTTAATTATTTTTATTTTATGTGTATGCGTGTACTGCCTGCATGTAGGTAAGTGCATCCAAAAGTGACACTAATTTTATATGAAATTTACTTCTATTTCTGTTCAAAGCAGAATCTGAACATTGGGGGTCTCATGAAGACCCGGGAACTGGCCTGGTCGCTGGAACCTCACAGGCACCCGCTAGGAACATGTTAGACAACACCATACACACACACACACATACACACACACACACACACATGCTCAGGCATCAACCCAGTGAATCTAAATCTCCAGGGTGGGGCCCAGCAATATGTTGGAACAGACTCCTGGGATCCTGATGCTGGCTGCGATTTCATAATGGCTAAGCCCTACAGTGGGACAGCTACAGGGCCCTCAGGCTGCTGCAAAGGAGTCACACGTACCCTTCCAGATGTAGATTTTGCCACAGAGCCCGTTGTCCAGCACGAAGCAGTCATCAGGGATCAGCAGCTCAGAGGCAAAGGGGCTGGAGTCAGCCACTTTGGTCAGGTTCATCTGTCCAGTGGCATCAGACACCTGTGGAGGAAGGACAGTGCCCAATCTCTCTCTCTCTCTCTCTCTCTCTCACACACACACACACACACACACACACACACACACTGTACACACACTACACACACCAGTCCACACCTTGGTCGAAGGAATGGACTGTCCAGGCCTTCCCCAGTCAGCCTTTCTTAACAGCTCTGAGAAGGAGGAAGAGAGCCCCCCAAAAGCAAGCTCCAGGCAACTCCTGCCTGTCTCACTTCAGTCACAGGAGTTCAGAGGCTCTGACTCCCCTGGGGGAGTTGAATTCCACAGTACAAGTAAATGCACAGAATTGAAGGAAAGCTCAGCATTAGCTTCAAACCTTCACCAAGGAGGCTAGAGAGATGGCTCAGTGGTTAAGAACACTGGCTGCTCTTACAGAGTACCTGAATTCAGTTCCCAGCACCCACATAGCAGCTTAAAACCAATCGTAACTCTAGCTCCAGAGGATCCAACACCCTCTTTTGACCTCTGAGTGCACTGTATGCATGTGGTACACTTACATACATGGAGGCAAATGGCAGGAGAGACCCTGTCTCAAAAGGCAAAACAAGAAAAAAGAAATAAAATAAAATAAAACAAAACAAAACAAAACCTGGGACTAGAGAGATGGTTCAGCAGTTAAGAGTACTGTCTGCTCTTGCTGAAGATCTGGGTTTGAATCCCAGCACCCATATGGCAGCTAATGATTGTCCATAACTTCAGTTCCAGGGGATCTGATGCCCTCTTCTGACCTCGATGGGCACTGCATGATATAGGTGTATTTACACACATGCAGGCAGTACACTCAGACACATAAGAAATAAGTGGAAGGCCAGGTGTGGTGGCACACTCCTTTAATCTCAGCACTTGGGAGGCAGAGGTAGGCGGATCTCTGTGAGTCTGAGGCCAGTCTGGTCTACATAGCAAGTTCCGGGCCAGCTGGGGCTACAGGGAGACCGTCTCAAAAAGCCAAAAAAAAAAAAAAGAATAGAAAAGAAAAGAAAACCTTCACCCAGAAGGAGCTGGAAGTGAAGTAACATAGCGTTTATCATTTCAGGGGGACCTGCCATCTGCCTACTTCCATCCACCTCTCCTCCAACCCCCATAAACCTCCCTGATTCCCGACCAGCCTTCCCAAATCCTCTTCCTCCTCCCTTCAGTTCCATCTCCCTCCCTGCCCCCCAGCAGCTATGTGCAAGATCCCACCCCTGTCTGGTCCCTGGCAGACCTGCAATGCTCACCTTATACAGGGCTGCAGCCTGGGCATTGGTCTGGTCAGCTGTGAGGTCTTCTTCAGGGTTGCCCTCTTTCAGAACAGGTTTGGGGCCCAGAACCTGCAGAGCCAGAGTAGGCCAGGTTTACTGGGACTCCCATCCCCAAACTTTCTAAGTCACTACATCCAGGGCCATCCTGTCCCATGGGGCATACTATGTCCTACACTAAGGTATCTGGCAGAGGTGAGTGAGTACTGGGCCTAGTCCACACACCAGCCAGGTCTCTTGCCCCAAGGCTGCACCCATCCAGAAGATCTTTTTATTTCCATCCTACAAAGGCTCCCCATAAACTAGTCACAGGGCCGAGTAGTGCTGCAGGTGGACACTGCCCTCCTCTATTAGCCACTCTTGTGTTCCCAAGGGTGCCTTTCTTGGCCCAATCAAATAGAGATTCACAGCCACCCACCCTAATGTCTCCCAACCTGAATCATCTCTGCTGGTTCCTCTCCATCAGTGATAATCTCCACTTGGGCCTTGCCCTGCCGCTCACTGTCCCGGATGGCTAAGGCCAGGTCCCTTGCCTTGTTGCGCTCCAGAATGTTGGATTTCCCACCACACCAGGCAAAGATGTTCTGCAGAGAAGCCAGACAGGCTGGTCATAGCCAGTTGTCTGTGTCCTGCCTCTGTGTCCTGCCCCTAGTCAAAGGAAAGCCCGCATCGCTCCACTGGAGAACTGTCTTCAGAGGCAGGACAATACAGAAGGCAGGGCCACAATACAGAGGCCTCTAAGAAAGGCAATGACAACATTCAATGAGTGCTTCCTGTAGGGTCTGGAGAGATGACTCAGTCAGTAAGAGAACTTAATGGTCTTCCAGAGTACCTCAGTTCACTTCCCAGCACCCATGTTAGGAAGCTCACAATTGTCTATAACTCCAGCTCCAGGAGAGCCAACATCTTCTGACCTCTATAGGTGCCCACACAACACTTACACTGACATACCCATACACATGAATTAAAAAAAAGAAAAAAGAGTGCTTCTTGCCCACATTCCATCTCCTTTCCTGGTTTTCTTCATCACTTAGCACCATATGTTTAAATGTCTTTATCTTGTTTAGAAATTATCTCCTTCTCTAGAATGTACTCTCCAAGGCAAGGATGTGTTTTTGCTCTATTCCCTAATGTATGCCTGTTGCTAAAACAGAGGTGCCACGTTACTTATTTACTTTCATTTTTTTTGATTTATTTTTATTTGTGTGTGTGTGTGTGTTTTATTATATATACAGGTGTTGTGGAGGCCAGATGAGAGCATCAGATCCCTTGGAGTCAGAGTTACAAGTGGTTGTGAGCAGCCCATGTGCACACTGGGAATGGAACTCTGGTCTTCAGCTCTTAACTTCTGAGCCATCTCTCCAGCCCCATTTTTGTTTTTTGAAGACAGAGTCTTATGTAACCCAGGATGGTCTTGAACTCACTATGTATCAGAGGATGACGATGAACTTCTGATCCTCCTGCCTCCACCTGCTAAGTGCTGGGATTACAGGTGTGTATCACTGAGCCTACTTTATATGGTGTCGGGGCTGGAGCTCAGGGCTTTATGCACACTACACAAGAACACTGCTATATCCCCAGCCCCAAGCTGGTACATATTTAAGCACAAAATATGTTCTAAGTGAATGAATGAGTCCTCAAGTGAGTGGATAAATGAGTAAATGAATGGGTGGATGCCATCCCTATGCTCAGTATCTCCCTCCTCTCCTCTCCTGGACTGGTACTCAAGGACAAGGTCTTTTCTCTGTTCCCCTGCTCAGCTCCCACTTCAGTCCTCCCTATAAACTGCTTCTGGTTTGATCTTCCTGTGTGGAACCTTCAGCCAGACACATGATGTCCTCATGACCTGGCTCTCACCTTCTTTAGCCACTTTATGCTCTAGTCTTCATCCTGGGTCCCACTCACACTACACTACATCCTCTGACATGTCTGCATCCAGTAGCTCGCCTGTCCCTCACCTAGAAGGGCATTCCTCCCTGACCAAGATCTACTCAAACAGCATTTCTGTGGAACAACTGTCTTTGGCTCAAGCTGGAGGACTCTTCCCTGCCCTGAGCAACTCCATGTGGCTGCCGTCCCCTTTTATGTCCTGCCATAGCTTATGGCAGATGACCAGCCTATATTGTCTGCATCCTCGGGGTGAGAATTTTTATTTATTTTCATTTTATGTAAATGAGTGTTTTTTCACTTTGGTTTTGGTCTTTTTGAGACAGCGTCTCCCAGTAGCCCAAGCTGACCTAGAACTCACTATGTAGGCCAGGCTGGCCTCAAACTTACAAAGATCCACCTGCCTCTGCCTCCCAAGTACTGGAATTAAAGGTATGTGCCACTATACTCGGCACGTGAATGAATGAGTGTTATGCCTGCATATATGTAAGTGCACCCATGTCATGCATACCTGAGGCCAGAAAAGGGTGTCAAATCCCCTGGGACTGGAATTATGGATGGCTGTTAGTTGCCATGTGGATGCTGAGGCTGCAGGGAGATCCTGTCTCAAAAAACTAAAATAATAATAATAATAAATTGAGTAATTAATTTAAAAAAGAATCACATAATCAGGGCTGGAGAGATGGTTCAGCAGTTAAGAGCATTTGCTGCTCTTCCAGAGGACCCAAGTTCAGTTTTCCAACACCACGTTGGGCAGCTTACAACAGGCTATAACTCCAGCTCCAGGGGATCCAATAACCTCTTCTGGCTTCTGAGGGCACACGCCCCCCCCCCACACACACATACAAAAAAATAAAAATAAGTCCTTTAAAAAAAAAAAAAAAGAAACATGCAATCCAAGCTGAAAAGATGGCTCAATGGTTAAGATTGTGTACTGCTTCTACAGAATACCTGAGTTTGGTTCCTAGTACCCAAACTGTGAGGGCTAGCCACCACCTGTAGTTCCAGCTCTGGGGACCCTTTACTGGTCTCCAATGTCACCAGCACTCACAGGCATATACCCCCCCCACACACATACACATAATTAAAAAAAAATATGTTATCAAATTACAAAAAAAAATTCGTAGAACATACCATATGCTTTAAGTAAGTTTATAATTATGTGCTGGGACACGTTCATACCTATCCTGGGCCACACAAGGCTAAAGGCCACAGGTTGGACATGCCTAAAAATATACAGGAAGAAATACAAAGGTACATAAATATGACACTATTTTATATGAGACTTGTGCATGTGAGGATTTTGGAGGGTGGGGAGGTAGAAACAATCCTTTGTGTATGCTAAGGAACAACTGTATGGGGATGTTTTCTCATGAATGGAACAGTCTGCCATGAAAGGCATCCAGCTTCTCAGCACCTCTCCCTCTTCCCCAGCATCCCAGCCTCTTAATAGCATGGTGCCAGCACAAGTGCTCAGTCGACCCACCTGGCCCAGGTCCAGGATGAAGCAGTCCCCTGTGTTGAAGCTGTCCCAGCTCAGTGCCCTCTCAGTGGCACGGATGTTCTTCTTCCCCTTCACCTGGTAGAGCTTCTTGATGGCAGCTGGGCTAGCTCCCGAGGTTGTCTTGTGAAACGCTGACTCCACTCCACCTTCCTGCAGTCCAGAAGCCAAACTGAGTGGCCTAACAGGAAACCAGAGCCCTCTGCATCCCATCCCATCCCATCCCATTGAGAGCAGGAAAGTGGAGACCCATCCCCAAGTGCTCAGGGGCCTTCTGCAGGGTAAAATCAAGGGTTGGTGCGGAGAGAAGTCACAGGAACTGAGTGTTTGGAGGTGGGTTAGGACCTGGTACTTGAGGCCACGTGGAAAGTAGCTCATGAAGAGGTCAGACTCATTCCCCTGCACCTCACGGTGCTGCACAGGTCGCTCCCCAAGCAGAGTATTGAGGTGCACGGCCAGCACAGCGCAGGCGCCTTGCTCATCCCGGGATGACTGTTGGCCTAGGATGAATAGGAGGAGGTGGCAGGTAAGGTCCCTGTAACCCGTTGCACCCTCCCTCCCTCCCCAGGCCAAACGCCCTACCCCTACCAGCTCAGCTCAAGCCCTTTACCTATCCACAGGTGGAGATGGGAGACCTCTTCTGGGCCATTGTAGAGCACTAGGTAGGAGTCCCCAGAGAAGAAGATGCCCTGGTTCTCACGTGCTATGGGCACCGGTTTCAGCTTCTCCACTCGCCATATGTGCAGGCCTGGATCTTGCACTGAGGCTGGGAATGGAGAGCCACTGCAGGAAGGGAGATGATTAGTGGTGGACCCACGAGGACTGGGCTCAAGTACAGAGACTTGGGAAAGCCTGGGGACTGAGGTCTGGCATAGGGAGAGCAGTGAGGAGGGAGGGACAGAAAGTAAAGAGAATGTGACACAATGCCTACCTCTGGGGGATGGATGTGTACATGCTGCTTCCAGATCTGGAAAGAGAAGTCATGATTAGCACAAGGGTCATAACAACCATCTCTCAAATTGGTCTTGGAAAGCCCTTCCAGTTGGCTAAGTATTTTCTCTTCAGTTTTTGAGCCAGAGTCTTATGTAGTCCAGGTTGTCCCCCATGAAGCCATTTCGTAGCTAAGGATGACCTGGAGGGCTGGGGAGATGGCCCAGTGGTTAAAGTACCTGTAGCACAAGCATGAGGACTGAAGATTGGATCCCCAGAACCCACATAAAAGCCAAGTAGGTGTGGTGACCCACATGTAATTCTAGCTTCAGAAGGCAGAGCAAGCTGACCAGCAAGATAAGCTGTATCATTGAGCTCTGGGTTTTATTGAGAGGCCTGCCTCAGTGAATAAGGAGAAAGAGCTATCAAGGATGATTCCTGACATCAACTTCGGGCCTCCACATGCATGTGCACACATGTGAATGCATACCCACACACAAGTGTGCACACACATGCAAACATACACACACATGTGCATGTGTGACATGAAAATGGAAAGAGAAAAAAATTAAGAAAAAAATTTAAGTTAAGAAAAGAAAAACATGTTCTTGCTTTCCTGCACGTGCTTGAAGATGTGAGAGCTTGGCTTCTGCTCCTGCTCCAGCCACCTCTGGCCACCATGCCTCCCCATGGACTTTAATTCACTTGGAACCATAAGCTCAAATAAACTCTTCCTTTTATAAGTTGTTTTGGTCAGTATTTCTATCACAGCAACAGAAAAGTAACTAATACAGTAATTAGTACCAGAGAGTGGGCTGTTGACTGTGAAGAACCTGACCATGTGGGGTTTTGGAAGAATGTGAAAGACTTTGGAAGCTTGGGCTAGAAAAGAGGTTGATTGCTGTAAACAGAGTTTAAAAGGCCATTCTAGTAGGCACCTAAAAGAAAGTAATGCTGAGAACAGTGTAGTTCCAGAGGGAAATAAAGACTTAAGCAGCAATTGGGGTATTTTGGCAGAGTCTCTGTTCTGTGCTTGAGCCCAGTTCTCATGGGGTCCACCACTAATCATTTGGAGTCTGTCTACAGTCAAAAAGCTTGCCTGAGTCTAAGTTGAAAAGCAATGGACTAATTTCTCTGGTGGAAAAAATTTCAAGACAGCCTAATGTAGAAATGGTGGCATGGATATTAATGGTGAACATTATGCAGATCTACAGTGAAAAAGAGCAAATGGGGCAGAAAGAAATATAGAATGTACAGTTTGGACTGAAAAAGAGCACTAGAAGGGTAAATGTTGGAGCCCGGGCATGTGCTGGAGAGGATCCCTTTGGAAAGGACATTAAAGTGATTAAGGAGAGGCCTAGAGGTTTGCACTTAAACAACTGAGAGAGTGTCTCCAGGGCAATACCACACCCAGTTAAGCCTCCAATATGTGAAAGGAAAATGCTGCAGGGGCCACTGAAAAGCTTTTAAATGGATACAGCAGCCTGGGGTCCATCTCAAACTTGCAGCCAAACTTGGCAGCGTCACTCACCAATGCTGGAGGCATGAAAAATGCACAAATGAAGGGGTTATCAGTCCTTCCTCCAAGGTTTCAGAGAGCCAGCAAAGCCAGGCAGCATACAGCAGGGGTGTCCCTGCATAAAGAAGGCCCACATAGGCCACTGCACGAAGCTGTGAGAGTGAAGCCTGGTTGGCAATGGAAGACATTCGTGATGCCAGATGTGTGAGGCATCTGCCAAGAAGACCTGCATACAGGTAGTAGCACCAGCCCAAGAGAGGGATGTATGTTACACACAGCAAAGCTGGAGAGGCTGAGCCATCTAAGCCCTTTGGAGGTAAAGTCCCAGAAACTGGATATGGAGCTACTAGATTTGGTGTTTTTCCTGCTGACTTTTGGTCTTGTTTTGGGTCCAGTATTTCCTCAGTATGCCTCCATTCCTCCCTTTTGGAGTAGTAATGTGTTTTCAGTTCCACTGTATGTTGGGAGTATGTAATTTGTCTTTTGATTTTATAGGGTCTTATAGTTAAGATATTTCCCTGAGTCTCATTAGAGACTTTAGACTGTGGACTTCTGAATTGTATTGAGACTGGTAATGACTATGAGGACTTTGAAGGTTGGACTAAATGCATTTTGCATTTTATATGGTCATGAGCCTATGGGGGCCGGGGGTGGAATGTGGTGGTTTGAATGAAAATGTCCCCCATAGTCTCCAAGTATTTGGACATTTTGTACCCAGGTGGTGGCACTGTTTTGGAAGGTCTTAGAAGGTGTGGCTATCCTGGAAGAAGCATGTTACTAGGGGAAGGCTTAAAGAGTTCTTAAGCTTTGCTTTCCTCTACCTGCTTGAAGATGTGAGAGTTTGGTTTCTGCTCCTGCTCCAGCCACCTCTGCTGTCATGCCTCCCTGCCATGATGGACTGTACCCTTGGAACCATAAGCTCAAATAAACTCTTCCTTTTATAAAAATAAACAAACAAACAAATAAATAAATCCCGGGTGTGGTGGCACACTCCTTTAATCCCAGCACTTGGTAGGCAGAGGCAGGTGGATCTCTGTGAGTTTGAGGCCAGTCTGGTCTACATAGTGAGTTTCAGGACAGCTGAGGCTACACAGAGACCCTGTTTCAAAAAGAGTGAAAAAAAAAAAAAAAAGAAAGGAAAAATGCTAAATAGAAGGAAACAAGTTTTATCCCAGGATTGTCAAGGTTGGTTCAACACCTGAAACTTAACAATATAATCCACCCTATTAACAAATACATGTGATATATTAATATATTCTTCCATATATACAGAATATTAATATTCCAGAATATTATATATTCCATATATAAGAATATTAATATATTCTTTCCAGATATACAGAAAGCATTTAGCAAAATTCTACATCTTTTTTTTTCGGTCTTTTTGAGACAGGGTCTCCTTGTAGCCCCAACTGGCCTGGAACTCACTATGTAGACCAGGCTGGCCTGGAACTCACTATATAGACCAAGCTGGCCTCAAACTCACAGAGATCCACCTGCCTCTGCCTCCCCACTGCTGGGACTAAAGGCGTGTGCCACCATGCCCGGCTTTCTGCATCTGTTCTTGATTTGAAATAAACAAAATATAAATCAAGTAAGCTAGCACATACTTGCAATCCCAGTACTTGGGAAGCCTAGGCCATGGAGGATCATGAGTTCTAGGTCAGCCTGGAGTACACAAGGAGACCCTGTCTCAAAAACTTTAAAAAAATCAAAAAGCCAAATATGGTGGCACCCACTTGTAATCCCAGCAGTTGGGAGGTAAAGGCAGAAGGATCAAGAGACTTGGGAGGTAGAGACAGAAGGATCAGGAGCTCAAGGACAACCTCAGCTACATTCAAATTTAAGGCTAGCCGGGGTTACACGAAACCCTGTCTTGAAACAATAATAAAAATGCTGGGTACACACATATCATCCCAGCATTCGAGAAGCAGAGGTGGGCATTCACATTCTTTGCTACATGGTGAGTTCAAAGCTGGCCTGAGCTATAGAAGACCCTATCTTTAAAAAAAGAGGAAGAAAGAAAACAAAGGGCCAGCGAGATGGCTCAGTGGGTAAAGGTGCTCACCACATGACACAGTAAGACAAACTGACTTCAATCCTTGGAACCCATGTGAAGGTGGAAGGAGAGAACCAACTCCACAAAGTTCTCTGGCTTATACACACACATCACATACATGCACAAAATAAAGTTTTCTTAAATAATTTTTTTTTCCTGGTCTAGAACTCATGATCCTCCTGGCCTAAGCTCCCAGGTGCTGGGACTGCAGGTCTGTGCTAGTACACTTGGCTTAGTTTTTGTTTATTTCAAATAAAGAATAGATATAGAATTTTGCAATCATGAATTCAGAGCAGCTATGGTTGCCCACATAAGACCTGCACAAGCCTGGGGCTCACAAGCCCAGCCCTAGCTGAGGAGCTATTGGCAGGTGGCTTCTTGGGGAGGTAGAGTCAGTTTTCCTTAAGGGTATGACCCCTGATAGGTCAGTCATGCTCCAATGGATGGCCCCACACTCCTGAGCATATGGGCAGCACAACTGGATTCAGTGATCTAAGTAAATAAATAAATAAATAAATAAATAAATAAATAAATAAATAAAATA